TAATATTATGACCGGATATCTTCATATTAGATTTGTGCCTTGTTTCTTGTAACAGTAACAACTATTTAAAAAAATATATATAATACGATCATCGGAACAACGGTTGTGTTGTGGGTTGAGTTTTCGGTGTGTACCTCAAATGTCGAAATATTTATAAAAAAATATATATACATTTCACTACACCACCACTGTGATGTATATGCAAAAACGTAATTGTATTTTTAAAAGTAAACTCAAATTTTCTAGAAAAGTGTTTGAGTTTTTGAAAATTAATTTTACCAATATGTAATTGTTTTAATGGTAGCATATTTTATTGCACTTTTAATTTTATAAATCAATAATTTAAAGCAGAATGATAATAGATTTTTGAGAATCTCAATATTTAAAAATTTAAGTTCAAACGAGTAGCAAATCAGTTAGAATTATTTTTCTTAGATACCTTGAGTATATAGTAGCACACATTAATACCACATAAAATGCCACTCATGAAAACGTCTAATGTTTAGAACTAGTTTAGTATTTGTTAAAAATGTGATCTTAATTTTCATATATTAAAATTCTCTGACAAATATTGCTCTTGTGGATATAGAATTTAAAATGAATTCTGCGACTAAAATGAGTAAAAGTTTTAAAAAAAGATAACTTAAAAAATATGTAAAAACGAATTATATAAAAAAAAAAAACGTTTTTTTCGACAATTAAATCAAACTATTTATAAAAAAATGTTTCTAAAAACGGTATTATATTAGAAGAAAATAAAAGTGGATGGTTGATTGGTGAAATTTATTACAGCATAGTATTAATAATATAGATATTACTAGTCGGATTTATATTTTCAATAACATAATTTGTTTTTTTTTCAATTCAAAGATCTATATATTAGGGCAACCAAGAGGTGAGGTGTAGTAGAATTATTATCCCCGATTGACGCTTGATGGCTTGGAGTACCAAGGAATATGTTACGTGTTATTGGCATAGTTCTTATTTTGTTCTAAATTAATGAAAAAAAAATCACACATTCAACTTACATATTATTAAATTATATTGTTGAGTTTTAAATTTCATAAAAAAATAATATATTATAATTATTATTATTATTGTTAGTAAATATGTCTTAATGTTGTCATAGTATCACATCAGTCGACGGCAGTAATTATCGGTTTAGCTAACACGTGCAACATAATATTATTATTATGTGCTAAAATCATGAAAGAAAAAATTACATGTTCCACTAACATATAAATCATATTATAATTTTGAATTTTAAATTTCATAAAAATAATAAAATACATTATAATTCTTTTTTATTGAGCTTTGGCTTCGACGACAGGGCCCATTATAACTTTAACCATTGCATTTGTTTACAATTATAATATATTACGTAATAATTGTTTGCTTGAGTTTTTCATAATATGATATCATTCATTTCGATCTGATGAATGTCACGACGTTTTCTGTCTGACAGTCTGATAAGATTATTTCGTACAGGTTCGTGTTGGTGTATCGTGTTTTTCTCTCTCGTTTTCATTCGCTCTGCACTCATTCATCATAATAATATGTTTAACAGTGAGAATAGCCACACAGAGGTTCACATCGCAGGTGTTTGGTTGTGAGGTGGGTGTGCACGATCCTCGGTCGGTTTCTTTTAGTTTCTGACTTTCTCTGTCATAATAACTGTTAGCAGGTAAACTCGCCATAATATCGTCGTACTCAGACATTGGTCGACGGGACTATTTATCGGTTTTGTTGGCACGGAATATCGTCGTCACGCGAAATGGCGTACTATGGCTAGTCGGGCCTCTTAACGCGTGACGAGTGACGACGTCCCACCAGGTGATAATTTGTACACAGGTACCCGCAGCGGTGAGAGTTTTCGAGTACGCTCAAATATTTACACATTATTATTATTAACACAATATTTACACACCGGCAAATGGGTACACCACAACTTACAGTACCAGGCTTTACGATATAATTTAAACTCGAGTTTATTATAATCATATTTCACAGCCATTATAATTGTTACGTTTATAATTTTGTCAATTTATTTGCATTTTAATTTTATTAATTATTATTACTTCAATCAGCCATAGAGTTTCTCGAATAATTTCGTTTTAACTATTTGGGTGTTTTCGGCGTACATAATAGCACATATACTATTATAACAATGGTTTACTAATTTTGTTTTGAACAATATTATGCAAACCAGTCGTAATTCTGTGATCTTTGTTAGTTTAAATCAAACCTCAGACGGATAATGAATAATTTCCACTGATTTTGGGACAGTGAAAACATAAAATAAAAATCAAGTTTAGTTTAAGTTTTTCCCTTTTTTGGCAAGACCTTATCAGTGTTTTCTACAGTAATAAGCACAATTCTGAAATTAAATACAATAAAAACTATTAACGAACTCGACATTGTATAATGTAAATCATGGACATAAAATTAAAAAAAATTATTTCTTCAAGTCGTTAATGGTAACTTTAAAATTTTACTTCAAATTAAAATCAAAATATCAATAACACAAAAACCAATTTCATAAAATTAAAAAAAAAAATAATTATTTTATTATTATCATTTCTTAAGGCTTATACAACTGTGATGATTCACCATTCACCTACTTTTAGATTATATATTTATATAATATGATACAGGTTATAGCTTATAACTTATAACTAAATTGTACAATAACTCAGTATTAATTCATTATTGGTGGTAAAAATACTGTTGCCATTGTATTTATATTAAAATAATACTTTATGGAAATGGGTTTAAAAAGTGTTCCTTTTTTTTACATTTTAATGTCAAAATACAAATGACTTTCTATTTTGATCCAATGCTTCTAAAATATAGTCATTGAATGATGGTGGCCTGAACAACAATTTAATTTAATTCGTACCTGTTGTACTAACAATACAATAACTTACACTTCATAAACTATAACAATTATTACTAACACTTATTGGAATAATAATTATTATCATTTTTAAAAGAACATAATATTAAAAATATGCGATACAAATATACGATATTATAATAAATTTAATCAGGACTGTACGTTTAAGTGTTCTAGCAGTACCTAAACAGTTTTTAAATTTTTCGCAATTTTATAATTTAATTATTGTTTGTTATTTCTCTTAGTTGTTTCGAAGATATTAAAATGTTTTATACGTTTCGCAAGAAATATTGCTTATAAATGTTGTTTAAAACTAATTATTATTCCCGTCGCTACCTAATCAAAATACGGCTGCAAAATGAAAGGTAATTATTCCGTAACAATACAATTATGTGTTTTGTTAAAAACGAATAACCCTGAACGATATCACAATATCACATAACTAAATTGTTGAATAAATGTATAGAACCTACTCACCTACATTATCAAAACAATAATAACACTTTGAACGCATAAAATTGAAATTTTCTGATTAATGTTTTTCAAGTCCATCGGTGAAGATAGCTATTACATACCTATACCTGTTACATTATATTATAAATGATTTTACATTTACTATTTTTTCATAGTATATTTTTATTTTACAAAAATATGATTATACTTCACATAAATTAAATTGTTTCTAGAACCACACTGCACTTGCAATTAAACATAGCAATGATTTTATTGTTATCCATTTACATTTTAATAATATTTTTTAAGATTTTAATAATTAGATAACATAAAATATGATTAATTATTATTTTTATTTGGGGTGATGTGGAGAATGGGGTAAAGAGTAAGGTCGAGTATGAGCATATGCATAGTTTTATACCTACCCATTCTCAAGTGATGAAAAAAAAGCAATTTTATTTTATCAAACGCGTGCGGCTCATTAATCGTCTGAAATTTAACAGCAACGTATAATATTTACGTCCTAGTTTTATTTTATGAATTTCGCATCGGCGTCTGACGTCTGACACAATAACAGTACAATACGAATATAATCTTAATACATTATTGTACATGGAATTACAGTTCCATAAAATAATATCAACTGAATGTGAATAATATGTGATGCAGTGCGCCGTAAACAATATTATTTAATGTGCAACGCTAAAAATATAATTCTATAAAGGTACCTACCTGGTATGATAATAATTTATACTCAATTGGAATGTAATACAGCACGTTTTGTGAGGTCGGATAAGTTAAAATTAATTTTTATCTGGTTTATGTTTAGTTTTGTGTAAACAAATATAATATGTATAATGTTTCACTTGAATGAATCGAATAGATTTAATGTTAAATGCTATAACAATTATAATATTTAATAGCTATGGAAAAAGTATTTTAAAATGTAAAGTATAAAAGTTTTTAGAAGCGTCGTGTGATAATATGTTTTGTAAAAAAATAAAAAAGTACCTAGTAGAAATTTTTTTTTTATAATTTAAGACTAACAAATTGTTATTTTTGAAAAACAATGTGCGTTAAAAGGTTCGGGCCATATCACGAAAAAATAAATCGTTGAGGCAATTGATAAAGTTATTGCATAGGTAGTAAAAAGTAGATTAAAACTTGTTCATAAATACCAACTATTATATTAGGTAGTTGCTTACAGTTAAACAAGGTTCACCGTTTGACCACGTTTGGAATACATACAACGGCAGTTAGTAGAGTAGAGTATTACAGCATGACTAACTTTGGAACACATGAACACGGTTATAGAAATCGGCTTTTTGTGGTTTTCGACGTTGAAGTGCGTATACGAACTTTGTGCGTTCGGGTCTTGTACGATATCGTGTGGTGAAAACTACTTGTAACAACGGCACTGACGGCACCCAATTATATAGGTAGTACCTAACACAAATTAAAACGATTTGTGAAAGTCTTCCTAGCCTTATCGTCCGCTATATAACTCGGTATAACTCAACCCTGTTAACAAACGTTAGACCGAGACGGTCTCTAAAACACGATTTATTATTCTCGGTTGTCCCTCGTCCGCAATAACGTCACTACGCCGCATATTCTATTTATTTATATGATAGTGGTTTTTATTTTTCAGATCCAGCCGACCGAATCAATCGCCCATGAAAGCGGGCCGCAACTAACTCGACTTTTGCCACTTCACCCGCACACCCACACGCCGGAAGTCGTTGTTTTCGACCCGCACTTCTCGTAGGAGATCGCGAGAAGTCGAACGCCATCGTCGCTGGCGCCGACGCGCCAACACCGCTGCGGGACTCGACATCGTCGTCACCTGCACACTCGCCACTGGAACTCCCTAGCGTCGGGTTACCCCGATAATTACCGGATCCGTGGTATATACCGCGATGACGACGACGACCGCCAGCTTCGCCGCAACCATAACGACCGTCCGGTCGTAAAGGAACGGGCGCGGTATCGGGCGGAAGTGTGGTGCTCGGGGAACCGGAAGCGCGAGAGAACAGTCAAATAAGACGTCGGCGGGGGCACGGACGACCCGATGGAAGAAGAAAACTATACGGCCGTGGTGCCCACCTACCTGACGGGACTGTTCGACTTCAACGGAACGGAGGAGGACGGCAACGAGACCAACTATCTGAACGTGACCACCGAGATGCCTGTCCGGTACGCCCGGCCCATGTACGGGTACGTCATGCCGTTCCTGTTGCTGGTGACCATCGTGGCCAACACGCTGATCGTGGTCGTGCTGTCCAAGCGGCACATGCGCACGCCCACCAACGTGGTGCTCATGTCCATGGCCCTGTCCGACATGTTCACGCTGCTGTTCCCGGCCCCGTGGCTGTTCTACATGTACACCCTGGGCAACCACTACAAGCCGCTGTCACCTGTCGAATCGTGCTACGCTTGGTACGCCATGAATGAGGTCATACCGACGCTGTTCCACACCGCGTCCATCTGGCTCACGCTCGCCCTGGCCGTCCAGAGGTAAGTGCCACACCATTTATTGTAAAATGTGTGGGTGCCTGGTTGTTGTTGTTGTTGTTTTTGTTGATATTTTCGTCATCGTTGTTGTTGTGTTTCCGTCGTGTACGCGGTGATACGACTTCGGCAGCTGCGCTTCTGTTCCCCCGGGTGCAAACGGGAAAATATTGCATGGAAAAAAAATTACAAGTGCATTGTAAACATGGGAATAGCATTACGCGGAAATGTAAATATAAACATAAGAGAGAAGTGTTTATTAGGAGGTACCTAAAACTATACAGAATCTTAAAAACAGAGACATTTTTAACGAGAAAAATATTACATTGGAATTTGAGAATAGGTAAGATCTTACCCGGAATATTATAAATCAGGAAAATGTTATAATACTGACAATTTCAAACATTTTTCTCGCGAATTTTGAAAGCAAACTTGTAGCGAAGTATAAAAAATGTAACGTTTTAAAAGTTGTTAGTTATTTAAACTTGAAATGGTTTTCAAGGGAATTGTTTGTGATATTTTTTGAAATATGTAATCACCAATGTTTGATGTAATAACTTTACGAAGGTACATGATTTCTTGTATCGTATGAATAAGTTAAAATTTTTAAATGAATAATATATAATTTGTAAAAATAGAACTTTTAAATTCTGAGCAAAAGATGATTTTTATCATAAAATTATTTTTAAATTGTTCTGTCAACACTTTTTGACATAAAATGAATGATCAGTATCAGTAGACAATGAACACCGATTTCTGAAACTAATTATACCATGGTGATTTTCGGGACTCTATGGAGGTCAGTTTTTATTCAAGTTTTGATTCAAAAACCTTTAAAAACAGCTACTAAAAAACGGAAATTACTGACTGTTTAGTTATTTGTTCATAATTCAGTCATATAAGAACGTTATGGGCGTTTTTCCGGATAGTGTCATTTTATAATATGATATCTTATAAATGTCCAGTTAAAGACTTAAATACTTTTTTTAAGGTCTAAGAAATATCATAATTATAAAAATAATACATCTGTCTATAATGTTAAAAAAAAAAATAATCAAGGTTTCTGGTCATCGATTCCTTCAATTTTAAACTTCTTTTGAATTCTGCCTTCTTTAATAATTAAGTTGTGTATAAAATCATTAAAATGTTCATTAACAGTTATCAGTTTATCACAGTAGAATACTGCCGATAATTTTTCCTAACTTCGTGAGGTTCATTACTCATTTGTTTCCTTCTGAGACTTTTCTTATTTAGGAACATTCATCGATCGATCGTTCGTCCGTGGATATGGCTCTTTTAAATTGACGAAGCACATTGGGATGACTTTCGGTTATAAATATTTAAACTAAACATTCTTGGTCGTGTTAAAAGATCGAATGAAAAAAAAATTAGAATAGACTTGCCCAAAAATCAATCAATTTTTTTACAAAAATTGTATGCATTCTCGGTGACCAGATTTTACTATAAATATATTATTATTAGTGGTATAGTTTATAACATGATTCGATATTATTCGACTCTTCAATAATTCGCTTGTATAATTTTGTTGTGCGTGCAGAGTGGATCCTACAGTGGTTCTCCATTATTAAAACGATGGATACTGAGGAAACGACTCAACCCGTTCTGTACATTAAACTATAATCTAGAATATAGTGTATTTGTATATTATTATTATTATTATGCATCTCCTCCGCCGGTCGGCAAAGATCGTAGACCACTAGAGACCGCGTATAAGATAATATAGTACCTACTCGATAGAATATTATCGTCCGGTTTGGGTTGCGGGTCCTACGAATAAGTCTAGAGGATTAAAGCTGCGAATTAGCATATGTTTAGAAATAATATTACAGTAGTCTATAGACGAGTACAACCTACTGCTGTGAACGGATGCAAAAATCCGTTCCAGAAGTATGTAAATGTTTTCGAAACCGTTTTACCACGATACCGTCAAACGACTACCTTTAAAACGGACACCTCCCCGAAAAGTGGTAGCAGTAGGTATGTTCTCTTATAAGCGTTATACGAATATTATATATTTCACTCCCCTGTAGAAATACATGGAAAAGGCGTAGCAAAGGTAACGTTTTACGACACCGTAGAATACATTTTTCGAAGTTTGCATTTTATTACTATTGATAATGTTCATGAAGAATATATATATGTATACCTATACAGTATAATATACCCCCAACGTACCCTCGTGAACTTGTATTTTATGAAAAAAAAGTTTTATTGTGCAGTGTATTGACGCCAAAAGTAGACCCACATAAAATTAAAACGTTATTGATTTTCTTTATTTTTTCACCAATGATTTCCAGAATTTGTACATTTCCTTAAATATTGAAACTCATTTACATTTTGTGCAATGCAAATTTTTGCTTTTACAAACAGGTGCCTTCAGCGCACACAGCGAAATATAGTTCTGACTGTTACGACCCTCACTCACGTAATTTTCACAAACGATTAATTCTTCAATATCTGCACCTACTTGCTACTACTAATACAAGTAGGCTCTGATTAAGTGACAAAACTGTTAAAGCTACTTCATTAATGTATTATTTTTAATTAAAGTAAATCTTATATATTTTTGTTGACTTAATCTATTTTTAATTTCTACTCTATGCTATTATACAAACAATAGGAATACCTTATGAAACTCAGTCAACAAAAAAAAATAATATTTTAATTGTTTTTGTACTTGAATTTCATAACACAGATTTAGATCTATATTGTTAATGTGTTTCATTTGATAATTGATTCGAAATCTTACCTATATTTTGTCTTTGCCGTGAATGGATCGTTGGCGTTCCGAATAACATTTCATTTTTTTATTTCCTAACATTATTTTCTTGTCGTAAAAAATATTCGTTTTACCAGTAAAATTATTGAGGTACAAATAAAATCACCTTCGATTTATGATCTATTGTAAGGCACCTATATTATGGTTAGATAAATTGTATTGTTCCACACTTTTGTAGGTTACAGTTGTACTGAAGTGCATATAACACTATGATGTTGATATAAAACTATACAAATTATTAAAACTTGAATGTTTTAAACTGAAGATAATGTCCATGTTAAATCATAAAGTATTCAAATATTACTAAAAAATTTAGTTTTTCAAAATAGTTAATATAAGATCGGTACAATTGTATATAATGACGGATACCACCACTGTGGGTTTAGTATTGATAGGTAATAGGTACATATGATTTTAATAATAAAAACAAATTATTTCAAAACTAAAAGCCTTCTAATATCGTCCAAGATAATAACGCAAATAAATATCGCTAGTGGAGAGATAACAGCTTAACACTATCGTACTTGCTGAACCTGCCTATTATATTGAATGTAACTACACAATTATAATAATTTTAAGTAATAAATTAAACACTGAAAACATTAAAACAATTCGTAAAAATGCCAAGTACACTACCTACTATTTGTATATGGCCACGTACATGCCTTAAAAAATATTAGTACCCTCGAAAAAAAAAATAATCGATTCATGGGTATAATTAATTTTAAATTTAAGACACCTACGTATTACCCTGACGACATTGTTACATTAATTGTGCCTACAAAGTGTTTGTCCCAGATGAAAAATATTTTTTTTTTTTTAGTTATTTTTATAGCAGTGCTTAATAAAGGTTATTTTTAAAATATGGAAAAAAGAATTTACAGCCTTCTCGTTAATAATGTTATTCCGTTCAATTTTAGATTATTATTTGCTTTTACAAAACAATTTAAAAATAGATTAGAGAAAATATTTCAAGATAAATTCAAATTAGCATATTTATTTATTTATTATTTTTTTAAATTAATATATTTCAAAGTGGAAAATACAAGGTGATCGCATTTTGTAGCCAATCTGCCTGCTTACTCTCCCAGTTAAACATATTTTAGCATCCTCTAAGACAATCTTTTTTTACTTCTCTACACTTAACGTTAAAACTAATATAACATATTATACAAGTATGAATGTATTTATTTTTGGAAAAATAATTAAACTACATAATTTACATAGTTGATGAAAATAATAAAACTGTCTTACATTTTACCTTAACGACGATGTCAAGAAATTCAATTTAAAAATGTTTACTAGTATTTCAAAAAAATATATTTTGCTTGGAATTCGTCCGTATATTCATATTACTTTCCGTTTTAAATAAAAATATTATGTTCAAAGTTATCATGGTTGAAAATTATTTACTTACATGTTTTCAATTTCAATTTTGAAAAGGCCGTTACATTTTTGTAAAATGATTGGTTGCAAAATAAATATAGCATATCAAATAATATCTACACACGCGTTTTACACTACCAATCAACAATATTATTATATTTACTAAAATTGTATTTCATACACTTGCATACAATATAAAATATGCGGAGAATAAAACTTTAGATATTTGTTCATTTAATATTTTAAAATATTTATTTTATTTAACAAGATTAATTGCATTTAATAATTTATTATTCAATTTTAAATAAGGCTGGGTAAATATAATATATTTTATGTATTAAATTAAAAGTATTTTTACCTTTGTTTCTCATGAACGTGTACCAATTATTTTTATTATTTTTGCCTATTCATTTTTATATAGTATTTTGAGAAATTATTTGTTTTTAAAATAATATGACCTGTAAAAATGTTTAGTTTAAATTAAAATTCATTAAAGGATAACGTCTTTTCATTTTGAGCTTCCCGAAATCCCTATTAGGTATTATAATATACTATATTGACTATTGAAACCTAAACATTTATTTAAGTACTTTAAATGATACATTTTTAATCATTTTAATAAATATAAAATTTGTATGAGTCGTACCATGAGCTCAACAATTTTAATAGAATTCATTACCTAATGCAAAATATATTGCTTAAAATACAAACAGTAGAGATTTACAGTAGCAGACCCCTCCCCCATCCCTTAGCCATAACATGCGATAGAAGACCATTATTCATAAAGTTTAAAGCTACCTATACATATATTACGTTTATG